TAATAGAATCTCTGTATGCTCTAATGCGAAGCAGATATGGGATGTACTCCAAACTGCTCATGAAGGAACAAACCAAGTAAAGAGATCAAGGATTGAACTACTCATAAGAAACTACGAGCTTTTCTCCATGAAGGAGTCTGAGCCCATCTAGGATATGATGACTAGGTTCACGATAATAACCAATGAACTGAAATCACTTGAAAAAGTGTTTACCTCAGAAGAGTTGGTTAGCAAAGTTCTAAGAATCCTTCCAGCTTCATGGGAATCAAAAGTCACTGCAATCCAGGAAGCCAAGGAATTGGATAAAATCTGACTTGATGAGTTGGTTGGAAACTTAAAAACTCATGAAATGAGAAAGATAGAACTGCGCAAGGAAGAACCAAAGAAGGTTAAGACCTTGGTTCTTAAAGTGTCTAAGGATGATGAATCTGACTATGATGATCCTGATCTAGCAATGTTTTCCATGTTCAAGAGGTTCATGAAGAATTTCAAAAGTGCATCCAAGAAAGAGGCTATTAGTAAGCACAAACAGATACAAAGCCAACTATGATGGGTGCTACAAGTGCGGCAAGCTAGATCACATGGTCAAGGACTTCCCAATGTGAAAAATTGAGCGGAGGAAAGAACGAGCTGAAAAAGAGAAACGAAAGAAAATGAGAGAAAATGGTTCCAACAAAGGAAAAATCCTAGGCAAAGGATTTACTAAAGCAATGAAACATGCATTCTTTGAAGCATATGAGGACAGTAGAAGTGATCAAGAGGAAGAAAAGGAGGATGATGCTATAAGTCTCTATGCTGTGATTAAGGAACACCAAGTTGTGAAGACAGAACCCCCAGTACAGCTTGGAATGTGCATTGGAAGACCTCCTTTGTTTGATGAACACCTCTATGATAAATGGAAGCTACGTATGGGAGCATTTCTTCAGGCTACTAGCTTTGACCTATGGGTAATTGTCAGTCATGGACCAATTCTCCCAACCAAATTAGATAGTGAAGGTAACAAGTGCAACAAAGGAGAAGAGGAATACGATGAGGAAGATTGTCAGCTAGTTCAGAAAAATGCTAAAGTAAAGGACTTGCTCTACATAAGCCTGTCTAGAAACACTCTTCTCAGAGTATCCTCTTGTATCTCTACTCATGATATAAGGAGGACCTTGGAAACTGGCTTTAGAAATAAAAACATTGAAGTGGATTTGGTGGCGATTGAAGAATCCAAAATAGAGGAAGAAGTGATAGGAATGATGGCCATGAGTGATTCAGAAACTGAAGATGAAGCAAGCAGGCTAAGGTGAGAGGAAATAATCAGGACTGGTATCTAGACAGTGGATGCTCAAGACATATGACTAGAGAAAAGAAAAACTTCCTCTCACTTACATCCTTCCAAGAAGGGAGTGTGTCATTTGGAAATGGGAAAAGGGCCAGATAATAGGTATTGGCAAGGTTGGCAAGTCACTCTCTCATGTTACAGAAGATGTGTATTATATGGTAGGTCTTAAACACAATCTTCTTAGTATCTCTCAAATGTGCGACAAAGGAAATAAGGTATACTTCAATTCCAAAATTTGCATTGTCACTAAGCTTGATACTGATGAAATTGTGTTAAAGGGTATAAGATGTAACAATGTCTACAAGATATCGATTATGTCACTTCCCCAAAGTGAGAACACATGCTTGAGTGTAGTGAAAGATGATCCACTGTTATGGCATAGAAGACTGGGACATGCCGGTCTCTCTCAACTCAACAAGTTGGCAATAAATGACTTGGTTCTTAGGCTACATAAAGTTGAGTTCACCTCTGACAAGGTATGTGATGCATGTGTTAGAAGGAAACATGTTAGGTCATCCTTTAAATCTAAGAAGTTTTTAACTACTTCTAAACCTCTAGAACTCCTTCACACGGACCTATGTGGACCAATGAGAATAAAGAGCAAAGGAGGTAAGAGGTATGGGTTTGTGATTGTTGATGACTTCTCCAGGTATACTTGGACTTTGTTTTTGGGATCCAAAGATTAAACCTTTTATGTCTTATATGTATTTGTAAGAATGATTCAACAAAATCTAGGATGTATTGTTTTAAGTATAAGAACTAACCATGGAATTGAATTTGAAAATTCAAAATTCCTTGAGTTTTGTGGCTCACATGGCTTTGACCGTAATTTCTCTACACCTAGAACTCCACAACAAAATAGAATTGTAGAACGAAAGAATAGATCCTTAGAAGAAACGGGGAGGACCATGTTGATTGCCAGTGGACTGCCTAAGAAATTTTGGGCTGAGGCATTCAATACTATTAGCTACCTGCTAAATAGATGCATGATCAGACCCATTCTTGAGAAATCTCCCTATGAGTTACTTTGAGGAAGAAAACCCAACATCACTCGCCTGAGAGCCTTTAGGTGCAACTTTTTTGTGCATAATAATGGGAAAGAAGCTCTAGGTAAATTTGATGACAGAAGTGACGGGGGAATTTTCTTGGGTTACTCTCCACATTGTAAGGCCTATAAAGTTTTTAATAAAAGAACTATGTGTGTGGAAGAAAATATTCATGTTATTTTTTATGAATCTTATAATTTAGCTGAGAAAGGTATGTAGGATGAAGATTATGACATTGGATTCACTGGTGATGGAGATACAAAGGAATCTGATAAAGATGGATCTAAAAACCACAAGGAAATTGACAGTTATCACGAGGAACAGGAAGAAGAAAGAACTACTCTAACTGTTGACCAGACTAATGAAGCCATACCTATTGAACTTGCTCTTTTGGGTCACTCCTTAGGTGAATATTCTCTAGGTATACAGATCAGACCATGGAAGCATTAATGCTCACATCCTCTTGAGAATATCATCTCTGATCCAAATGCAAGGGTGCAAATCAGGTCTTTTATAAGAAATCTATGTGCACTCACAACATTCCTCTCACAAGTTGAACCTAAGACCATCAAAGAAGCTCTAAAGGATCCATACTGGATCATATCCATGCAAGAGGAGCTAAATCAGTTTGAGAGAAGCAAGGTCTGGCACCTGGTACAAAAACCCAAGAATAGAACTGTCATAAATACTCGATGGGTGTTCAGAAACAAGTTTGATAAACAAAGAAATATCACAAGGAACAAGGCCAGACTGGTAATTCAGGGATACTATCAAGGGGAGGGCATTGACTATGATGAGAAATTTACACGAGTAGATAGAATGGAGGCTATAAGAATGCTGATAACCTTTGCTGCCCACATGAAGTTCACTTTATACCATATGGATGTAAAGAGTGCCTTTTTGAATGGTTACCTAAAGGAGGAAGTGTTTATCAAACAACCTCTTGGATTTGAAAGTGAAGAATTTCCTGACTATGTGTTCAAACTAGATAAAGCTTTTTATGGACTAAAACAGGATCCAAGAGCTTGGTATGAAAGGCTCTCAAAATTCCTCTTAGCCAACAACTTTGTAAGAGGAAAGGTGGACAACACTCTATTTCTAAGGAGCAGTAGGAAGAGTATTCTGATTGTGCAAGTGTATGTGGATGACATTATCTTTGAGGCCACCAATGAAGCAATGTGCAAGGAATTTGCTGAGATGATGGGAAATGAGTTCGAAATAAGCATGACAGGTGAATTGAACTTCTTTCTGGGGCTGCAAATCAAGTAAACACATACTGGAACCATGATACATCAGCAGAAATATATCAAAGAATTACTGAAAAGGTTCAACATGGACTCTTCTAAGTCTATTGATACCCCCATTGCCATTACAACAAAGCTGGACCTTGATGAAGAAGGTAAAAGTATGGAATATATGCTACATAGAGGAATGATTGGGTCACTATTGTACCTCACAACAAGCAAGCCTGATATAGTGTTTAGTGTGGGATTATGTGCAAGATTTCAGGCAAATCCCAAGGAATCCTACCCGAAGGCTGTCAAAAGGATACTAAGATATCTCAAGGGGACCCCTGACCTCTGTCTATGGTATCCCAGAGGGTACAACTTTGATCTAGTTGGTTACGTTGATGCTGACTATGTAGGTTTTCATATTGACAGGAAAAGTACTTTAGGAACAGCTCATTTTCTAGGTTCTTGTCTGATGTCTTGGGGAACCAAGAAGCAAAACTTAGTGGCCTTATCTACAACTGATCTAAATATGTGGCAGCAACATCCTCATGTGATCAGTTACTATGGTATATTTGTTGATTGTGTTCCCATTTTCTGTAATAACACCAGTACCATAAACATTGTTAAAAATCCATGTCAGCATAAGAGAACCAGGCACATTGACATTAGACATCACTTTTTCAAAGACAATGTTGAAAAAGGGAATATCCCAATTAACTTTTGTAAACCTGAAGATCAAATTGCTGATATTTTTACTAAAGCTCTGAGTAAGGATCACTTCGAAAGGAATAGACTAGAACTAGGTCTAATCAACTCCTCCCACTAAGCTGACGCCTAGTGATTGGTTAGAAAAAGCATAATAAGATGTAGATAATTAAGTACAATGTGTTTGATTCAGCTTTGTGCTTGTATTAAGCTCACACACTTGCATAAAAAATCTGGCTGATAACTGTGTTACATGATACTAATATGAAGTGCTGAATCTTTATTGCAAAAAAAGAGTAAGGAGTTGGTTCTTTGACTCAGGTATGTGCCATACTGTCTTAAGTCACTAGGACTTTATATTCTAAAATTACTTCTATACTCAGACTTTTAATTTCGTTGACATCACTTCTAATCGTCTTCTAGTCAAAGAGTAAGGGGGAATCCTTGTGCAATTAGAGATCAATTACTCCTGAAAAACTTATAGTCAAAGTAATCGTTATAAGAGTCCCGTTAGAACTCAAATTCGGTCACCTTCTCTCTTCCCGTCAAATCAGGAGTAACGCCTTTAAAAGGATCTTATGATCAGCTTCTCTAACCTCACTGTTTCTCTCAAACCCTAAGCAAGAATCGAAAGCAATTATCAAGAACTAGTCCTCTCTTTCTCTTCTTCGAGTCTTTCAACTGATCACCATGCCTAAAGCCAGTCAAACACCCTCTAAAGCTAAATCATTAACCAAGGCTGAAGCAAAACCCAAAATCTTGAAGTCCAAATCGAAGAAAAATGCCAAGCCTTTAAGAGAACCCACACCCACACCTGCTCTTTCTCATTCGATATCCTCCACTATACCTACCTCATCCTCCCATGTTCCTACTATTCATGTTGTTCCTATCATTCCCACCTCCACTGTAACCCGTCCTTCAAAAAGCACTACCCATGCACCTGAGCTTCCTGCGAAAAATAAATCTAAGTCAACAAAGGTCCAAACAACTCCAAGAAAATCTATCAAGAAAGTGCCTAAAGATACTACGCAGGGTGACACTGTAGCCAAGGGATCTGTGATTTAGGGGGAATCAGTATCAGTCACTACTGATCAGGCACCACATCCTACTTCTAAGTTAGATGTTTTGGTGTCTGCGATAGATGTTGCACCCCTAGATACTCTCCCACCCACGAGTGAGAAGCCACCAGTGGAGAAATTCCCTGTAGAAAAGGGTGCATGGGATCTGGGAAAGGAGATAGATCCAACGACTGTAGAGCATGTGGTTGAGGGGGAAGGACGTAAAGAACCGGTGCAAAAGGAGGCTTCTGATGGCCTTGATTTTAGTTGGACCGAGGAGGAGGAAGATGATGAAGGTGAAAAAAAGAAGAAGTCGTGAACAGTCATGAGGAACATAATACTCAAAACATAGCTAGTGAAGAAGAAAAGAGAGAGAATAAGGGAGTATCTGGAGATGAGAAGGAGAGTGATATAGAGGATAAGACAGGTGAACAGGCTAATGATTCTACCGAAGAAGAAAATCAGAGTGAAGAAGAGGAGGTTTCGGAAAGTGAGGGTGAGGATCAAGAAAAGGTAAGTGAGAGTGAAGGAGGTGATGAAGAGTGTGAGGAAGAAGATGTGAATGTGAGTGAGGAATTTGAAGGTTCCATGACAATTGGAAACACTATCATAGCTCTTTTAGAAGAAATTGGTGAAGAGATAAGGGCTCAAGAACCGGGGTCTCTATTAACTCCTTTCACTGGAGATGAAGAAGTTAGCAGTGATGAAGATGATATGCTACTATCTGAGGTAGGGAAGAAGTCCAGGAAGACCACTATGAAAGCTGCAAAGTCAGCAGTCTCAACAAGGAAATGAGTGGATCCTCTTGCTAAAACTCCCCTCACAAGGAGTAAAATAAAGGCTGTTGATGCACAAATCATGAAGGATCCCAGAAGTGTAAAGAAGCCAAAGAAGAAGGTTTCAATTGTGGAACCTGTTGTTGAGGTGGATGGAGAAGATGAATTAGCCTCTACCTTGCCAGCAAAGTCTGCTACACCAAAGAAAAGGGGAGCCAAAGTCACCAAACCTGCTACCTCTTCTGCAAGGGCCAGTAGGGGTAAGACAAGAAAGAATGTGCCAGTTGCAGTCGATCGACTCATAGAGTTCAGGAACAGAAAAATGCTAAATGGGAAGATTTTTGCGAACACTGATGAGAAGGGGGTGGCTCAACTGGTTGAGAAACTTGAGCTACAGGGGTGAAAGCACATGCTTTTCAAAGGTTTCCCCCCATTATGTGTTCCTATTGTGGTGTAATTCTATACAAATTTCTCATTTGATGGGAAGGTAGTCAAGAGTAAGGTAGGGGTCTTTGACATGGAGTTTGATGCTGATGAGCTGGGGCTGCTTCTGAATATCCCTTCTTTGGCATTTGACAATTACATGAAGAAGAAGTGGTCAGCCAAAGACAATTATGTTGACACTGGCATTGTGGTCACAAGGAAGTTCTCCCAAAAGTTTGAACTAGATGCTCCCCAGAAAGTGTACAAGATTGATATGACTCCCTTTCACAAGCTAGAGTTTCAGTTTTTCAACTCCTGCATTCTTCAAGGGTCTGAGAGAAGGCATAAAGCTACTGTGATAGACATGGCTGTGATGGAACTGCTTGACACTGGTCGACCTATCAATCTTCCTAGCTTGACGATCCAGCACATGGCAAGAGCTACAGATACTTCCAAACCAAAGTATACTATGCCATATGGTTTCATGTTGACTGAGTTATTTGACAAGCTCAACATTGCCTTACTTGAGCTTAAGTTTGTAAACCACAATGATGTTTTGGATGTTGTTACCCTCAAGCAATGTGGCTATGAGGAGATCAAGACAAGAGGACCCACAGGATCCGCCATTGTTCTTGGGAGCAGTAGGGTTGCAGAACTCAGCAAGAGGTTGGATCTGGCTGTTGAAGAGAATGCCATGCTTCGTGAAGACAATAATAAGTTGAGAAAGGAAACAAAGCAACTCAGAGAAGAGCTCAGAAGAGACAGGGAGGCCCATGCTCAACAGATTGCTACCCTTGTGAAAGCTTTGACCCCTTCTGCTTCTCACCCTTTAACTTGTTCTTCCTAGTGTCCTTAGTTCTTTTGCTGTTCTAGTGATGCCTTATCTTTTGTTTCTTTTGTCTTAATCTGAGTAGTTTGCAGTATGCTTAGTTTATTTTGTTCTAATGATGAAGACAAGGCCATGGGCTTCTTTTGGCACTACTTAATGTCTCCTATTGCTCTGCTTTACTGCTTTGTACTCTATTGGATCATCAACCTAGTTTATTTTCCCTTTCTTATGCTTGTGTTGTCACCTGTTTGGCCTTGAATCTTACATTATCTATGCTTAGTATCTAACATATTTTTTGTGTGTTTTCGATGATGCCAAAAAGGAGAAGATAAGGTTGGAAGTTGTTGTGAACACACATGTCTGTCAATAGTGCTTGTTGTAATTATCTGGTTCTTTGAGGTGATTATCTGGTTATGTTGTGGTTCTGTTGTGCACAGAGTTTGTCATCATCAAAAAGGAGGAATTTGTTGAATATAGAAGTTTTTATGATTAACAAAGTATGACTAAATATTCAAAGAACTAGGTCCTCAACGTAGCTGCTTAACTGTTCTGAAGAACCTGTTCCTGAGGAGAAAGAATCAGTTCCACTTGAGTGATACTTGTACATTTGTACAAGACAATAGCTTTATCTCAAAGCTACCCACGTCCGAAGTTGGTGGACGATGACTACTATAAGTGATAAGGGTCGTTGCTAAAAAAGATATGGATAATTCAGTCGGAGACTAAAGTCCCAAAGCGTATGGAATCCTTGGAACAGTAGGAGTCCTATCAAAGAGGAAGCTGACTTTGAATAGGATTCCTAGAAGATCTCAAGTCGTGTTTAAATAGGATTGACTTTGGACTTCTAAACTATCCCTTTGCACATCAACTAAAGAGTCATAAGTTGTTTACTTGTGTTGAGTACTTGCATTGTATTCTTCTCGAATCAGTCTAGTGAATGTGTTTTAGGTAATTGAGTTGTAATCAAGTGTCATAACCAATCGGTGAGTTGGAGTGAGAATTTTTGCTTTACAAGTTAGAGTAACTTGTGAATCAAATAGGAGTTGTAGGAGTACTAGAGAGTATTTAATTACAGTCTTGTAATTGATACATTTTGGCTCAGTGTTCTAGTGGAGTTGGAGCTGAAAATCCTACGTGGTAGGTCGTGTTTTTTGCACCTTTTGAGCCGAGTGATTTTTCATGTAAAAATCACTGTGTTCATTTTATTGCTTGTTTACTTTAATCTTAAGGAACACGGGGACTCAAACTAACAACCACATTGCAAAATTAGGTCAATATCATCTAGGTTATGTAATAACATCAAATTTAAATTAAAAAATAAAGCTTTTCAATAAACAAGATAAACGATCTTACTATATTTATTCCTTGCAATTTTATCACCTTCCACGTGGAATTGTTTTTTAATTAGAAAAACAACAAATTATGGTGACATTTTCTTAAAAAACCTGGAAAGCAAAACTCAATAAAAAAAGTTTAAAACTAATAAGATTTTCAATAATAGAATTGGTTGAATGTTTTTATCTACATTTATGGAGAAGTGTTTTTTTCAATTTCTTGCAAACGCCATAGTGCATGATAGAATTTTCTATTTTACTATAATAAACTTTTACTAATAACATAATTTTTATTATATGTATAATCACTTCGAAAGATGAAGGTTTGCAAATAAATGTTGGTAGTTTTCTTATTTTAAATTGAAACATCTAAATTTTGTGAGATTTAAATCTCCAAGGCACGAATTTTAGATCTTATTAGAAAATATACAAAATAATGAGAAACGTTGAGATACAAGTAAAAGAAAAATTCTTGTGATACTAACTTTTATGTTATTTATAAAATTACGACATAAGAAGCCTTTTTTTTTAATCTTCTTTTATGTTTTTATTTTCATTAAGCACTTTCTTTATTCATTTATGTTTATTCTTTTATTTCATTCTGCTGCCTTTGTTTTTCTTTTTCTATTTTTCAAATGAATATTTAGTTTTAGTCACCATCAAGTAAAAGTCTTTGATTGTAAAAATCTTACACTAAAAAAAAAAAGTAAAAGGCGATATCCAATCATGTACATAACAATCGAAAAGTTTGTTATCCAATGTTCAAAACAAAAATAAAACTTTTTTGATTGTAGAATTCTATAGCTGATAATTAATGACATGATGTTTCCTATAAAGACCCCTGCCAAGGGATGTAGTTTGGAGAACGGATCCTATGTGATAGATAATATATCTCCATGCACAATTTTCAAACGATGGTTAAAGGAAGAAAAAACCAAAGAAAAAATATTTCAAACTTTTTTCGACGAAAGTAAGTAGTCTACTATACGAGTACGAAATATTTCATATCATTCAAATGTTATAGTGGTAAAGTTAATTGAGTATGTTTTTTAACTTAAGGAATCAATAAATATGTGAAACCATCAATTAAAGACAATGCAGGCAGGCAGGCGAATAGTTGAGCTTTAAAACTCAATAGTAATAGTTTTACATCTTTGCTATTTTGATAGATGAAATTTACTACAATTCATTTCTTTTGATATCACTGTGTATTACGCAAATACTAATACTAGTACTAGTTAAAGGAAAAAGCTTTGCGGATCGGAATTATTTTATTCGTGTCTAGTACTCCTTGTATCCCTGAATTCATTTGAGGTGGTCATTTTAGTAGGGATGGTGTGATGAGTGTGCTTTACGCTCGAGAAAAAGAAGATTAAAAATTTATTTTATTATCATTTATTTATACAATATTATTTTCTACTTTACTCTACTTTTTTAATTCTTTTTCTTCATTTATTTTCTTCTTCCTTGTCCATATCATTTCCACCGGAAAATAAGTTTTGTCACTGGAAAATTTTTCCGACCACGGGGAATTTTTCTCACAACCACCGCCATTTTCTTTTTCTTCTACTCAAGTTTTCATACTTCATTAAACAACACCAAATTGTATTCTTTGTTCAAGATTACTTTTAGAATGAGATTCGTGAAGATTACGAAGATGAATGCTCTTTGCGAGATGAATCCGGGATTTGAATGGTTTCGAATGTCATTATGACTTAAGATTTGCTACTTACACTGTCCAAGTACGATATACCACTGGTCACTTTGATTTATTTTGAGTTTTGTTTTGGATTATTCGTCTTTTTGACTTATATAAACAAATCAATGAAATAAATTTTTTTATGTACTTAAACAAAAGAAAGCAATATCTTTTTCCAAGAATCAGTAAAAAAAGAACATGAAGTAATAAAATTAAAACAAGTCAGCAAGAAAAAAGAAAAGGGAATAGGTGAACTAAAATACCCAAACCGTGGGGAAGAATAGATTGCAGCCAAAAAAAAAAGAGATTTGCGCATTCAACTCGATTAGGTCTCCCGGGCGGAACAAGAAGCCTTTAACCACTGGCACCTCATGTTATTTTGTTAGTTCGGGTGCCAATTCAATGTTTTATACCATTCTGCCACATATGTTTCTGCGGGTGGCGTGCCACTCCCACGGGCTTCATAGATCCGCCCCTGGCTCTTTGTACATGGGTGCTTCAGCACTTGAGTGCCGAAGAACTCTAGTTAGGGGTGCGGGTAGAGGTAGAGCTAGGAATCGAAGTTTATGGGTTCGGAATTTTAATACTTTTTAAGTTACTCGATTCTATTGGGCTAAAAGTACCCCCGTCATTTTCTTTCTGGCTCAAATATACTCTTATGACTAACGACCATCTCAAAATCATAACAAAAATATATTTAATAATGACCGGGCAGTTTTGCATTGGCCAAATTT